GCTTGTGGGGCGGGAAGACAGCCACCCCAGCCTGGGCCCCCGGGAGGAAATGTAAGTGCGGGAAGTTTGTAGGGTGGTCCCTTTCTTGGCGCTTGGCCCTCGCCAGTCCTCGCCGCCCTCCTTGCCAACCCCAGCCCCGCCCCAACCCGAGGGTGCGCCCTTCCCCTGGGCACTGTGATCTCCGCCCATGCCCGCTGGCTGATAGCGGGGGGCACCGCCAGCCCCTGAGCGCCGCGCTAGCCCCTGGGGCGGTGAGCAGGACTTCCGGAGCCCTGGAGGGCAGGGACCACCGCAGAAGCCGGCGTGCGCCGGGCACCTAGGAACGACCGTCCTGGCAGCCCTCCTCGCTCAGGTGCGCGAAGCCAGCTCAGGACACGTTGCCTCGAGTTGGTCGCGAAGGGGTCGGAGACCCCCTGTTCCAGGCTTATCCTCGCCTGTGAACCTCTTGAGGCCAGCACACTGATTCTTCCACAGAACACTTTCAGAACTCCTTGGCCTGTGCTGGGCTTAAGCGCTAACCTTGTCCTCAATCAAGGAGCAAAGGTAGACATGTAAACATGTTTCGACACGGTGTGATGACTGCAACAAGAAGCAGCATTGTGAGGTTAGATGTAAAAAGGTACCAACAGCGTAGAGGGCTGAAGCAGGCCGGAAAGGCGTGCTGAGGAAGGTACTGGCAAAAACAGCAGTTTAAGAGACGGAGTGAAGTTTGTTCCAGTGCTTTCCCAGAAGAAGGAACCTCATGTGAGGCCCTTTCCCTCACTTGACAGATAAACTGAACAGGTGAACTGATCATAATGGGCTAAAAATGGGCCACACCATCTGACACTTGGGCTATAGTACCCCTACATAGGGTTTTAAGGGATAAGCTGATTCAGATACTTGGATTTTGTGGGATTTTTAAAATGTATTTATCTTTGGGAACAGCAGTTAGAGAAATGGCTATGTCGCTGGACTCCCACGTAGTGGACCACAGTTCGAGTCCCGGACCCGGTGGCTTAAACTCAGGCTGGGCGCATGTGCGTGCGTTCCCAGGATCCCGAGAGGAAAATGCAGGAGAAGGGATTGCGGCCTGGCCATCCCCCTGAGGGGTGATTTCTCACTTTCTGTCGCTCTGTCTCTCTCTGTCTTTCTGTGGCCTATCTCAAAAAAATGTATTTATCTTTGATTGTGTAATACACATACTTGGTACACGTTCAAGGTACAAAAGGATAGGTACAACGATCAGTCACTCCTTTCTAGGAACAATGATTGCACACCTTTCTTATGTACCTTTTCAGAGTCTACAAATCTTTTTTTTTTTTTTTGAGAGGTCTTTGCCATAGGGCATGTGTACTCACCAGAAAGACAGAGAGAGAGAGACAGAAAGTGAGAAATCACCCCCCTGGGGGGATGGCCACGCTGCAATCCCTTCTCCTCCATTCTCCTCTCAGATGCTTTCCCAGAAGAAGGAACCTCATGTGAGGCCCTTTCCCTCACTTGACAGATAAACTGAACAGGTGAACTGATCATAATGGGCTAAAAATGGGCCACACCATCTGACACTTGGGCTATAGTACCCCTACATAGGGTTTTAAGGGATAAGCTGATTCAGATACTTGGATTTTGTGGGATTTTTAAAATGTATTTATCTTTGGGAACAGCAGTTAGAGAAATGGCTATGTCGCTGGACTCCCACGTAGTGGACCACAGTTCGAGTCCCGGACCCGGTGGCTTAAACTCAGGCTGGGCGCATGTGCGTGCGTTCCCAGGATCCCGAGAGGAAAATGCAGGAGAAGGGATTGCGGCCTGGCCATCCCCCTGAGGGGTGATTTCTCACTTTCTGTCGCTCTGTCTCTCTCTGTCTTTCTGTGGCCTATCTCAAAAAAATGTATTTATCTTTGATTGTGTAATACACATACTTGGTACACGTTCAAGGTACAAAAGGATAGGTACAACGATCAGTCACTCCTTTCTAGGAACAATGATTGCACACCTTTCTTATGTACCTTTTCAGAGTCTACAAATCTTTTTTTTTTTTTTTGAGAGGTCTTTGCCATAGGGCATGTGTACTCACCAGAAAGACAGAGAGAGAGAGACAGAAAGTGAGAAATCACCCCCCTGGGGGGATGGCCACGCTGCAATCCCTTCTCCTCCATTCTCCTCTCAGAATCTTGGGCACGCATGCACACGTACCTGGCATGAGTTTAAGCCACCAGTCTGGGATTCAGACTGCCATCAACTACCTGGGAGTCCAGCTACATAGCCATTATGCCATCTGCTGGTCCCAAATCAACATTTTTATAAACATCAACTTTCAAGAGATTTTTGGGACTAGCAGATAGCATAATGATTACATCACCGGACTCCTACATGGCCAACAGCGGTTTGAGTCCAGATGGGCAGCTTAAAATTCACCTTGGGTATGGGGCCAGTAGGTCAGGCGTGGTGGTTAAGAGTGCTAGATTTCCACATGGTCAAACACAGTTCGAGTCCCAGACCTGGCGACTTGCTTTTTCACTTTCTCTCTGCCTCTGGTCAAATTTAAATAAATAAAGTTAAATAAAATAATAATTCTTTAAAAAATAAATAAAAACTCACCCTAGGCATGTTGTACATGTGTGCCCAAAATCCAGAGAGGAGAATGGAGACAGGATTGCGGTGTGACCATTTCTCCCTTGGGGGGGGGGGTGATTTCTTGCTCTCTGTCTCAGTACTCAGGCAAGCCATGTGCCATATAGCAAAAATCTCTCTCTCTAAAAAGAGAAATAATTCTACAGACTACCCTGTGACCCAGTGATTAAGATTAGTACATTGGGGGACCAGCAGTTAGCATAATGACTATGTCGCTGGACTCCCATGTAATCGACCATGGCTCGAGTCCTGGACCTGGTGGCTTAAACTCATGCTGGGCGCGTGTGTGTGCGTGCCCAAGATCCTGAGAGGAGAATGGAGGAGGAGGGATTGCGGCATGGTCTTCCCGGGGTGATTTCTTGCCTTCCATCTCTGTTTTTCTGGCAAGTGCATGTGCCCTATAGCAAAAACCTCTCAAAAAAAAAAAAAAAAAAAAGAAAAAGAAAAAAAAGAATACAAGATAAATTAAGTTTATGCAGATCTTGACATTCCTGTGTGATATCCAATGGAAATACCTAGTACACTTTGGCACTAGAGAAATCTGGGCTACACATTAATTAGGAGTCATTTGGTAATGGTGGTAGATGAAATGGAAAAGCTGAAGCCAGAATGAGAAAAAAACCTTGGAAGTATATCATTGAAGAAGCAGCCAAAAGAAAAAGATACAGAGAGGGTAATTTTTATTGTTGTTTGTTTGTTTTAAATTGTGTTTGCCCTTCCAATTCTACCATGTATGGGGTCTTGTTTCTTTTTTGTAAAAGAAATATTTTTAAAATACTGTGAATATGGGATATTCAAAAAATTGTCAGGGCCGGGAGCCAGCAGGTGGTATAGTGGTTAAAGCACTGGATCCCACATGGCTGACTCTGCAATTCAATTCCTGGATCCAGCAGCTTAAAAAATACCAGATGTCTGTGTATGCATGCCCAACATCCCAACAGGAGAACAGAGGAGAAAGGATGTGGTGTGGCCACACACACACACACACTCCCATGGGATGATTTCTCACTTTCCTAATCTCTCTCTGTCTCTGTCTCTGGCAAGCTGTGCCCTAATAAGTATATGCAAGACCAGCCTGTAGCACAGTGGTTAAGAGAGCCTGATCCTACATGGCTCGTCATGGTTTGAATCCTGGAGCTGAAAAGCATGCCAGGTAGGGACCAGCAGTTAGCGTAATGGCTATGTTGCTGGACTCCCATGTAGTTGACCGTGGTTCGCATCCCGGACCCGGTGGCTTAAAACTCACACTGGGTGTGTGTACATGCATGCCCAAGATCCTAAAAGGAGAATGGAGAAGGGATTGCAACATGGCCATCCCCTCTGGGGGGTGATTTCTCGCTTTCTCTCTCTCTCTCTCTGTCTCTGTCTGTCTGGCGCGTACACATGCCCTATAGCAAAAACCTCTCCAAAAAAAAAAAAATGCCGGGTACATGTGCATGCATGTTCAAAATCCTGACAGGAAGGAAGAACAGAGTGGGATTGCAGCTTGATAATGCCCTATTGAGGGGTACTTTCTCTCTCTGACAACTGCATGCACCATCTAGTAACATAAAAAAATACAAGATAAAGGGAACCAGCAGTTAGCGTAATGGCTATGTCGCTGGACTCCCACGTAGTCGACCGTGGTTCGCGTCCCGGACCCGGTGGCTTAAAACCCATGCCGGGTGCGTGTGCGTGCATGCCCAAAATCCCAAGAGGAGAATGGAGCAGAAGGGATTGCGGCGTGGCCATCCCCTCTGGGGAGTGATTTCTCGCTTTCTGTCTCTCTGTCTCTGTCTGTCTGGCGAGCGCACGTGCCCTGTAGTGAAAAACCTCTCAAAAAAAAAAAAAAAAAAACAAGATAAAAAAAATTTTTTTAAATGCTCAGGGGGTTAGAAAACCTGGGGTCTTGGCATTCAAATGTTTGGGTTATACAGAACACTTCTGATGATGAAGGAAAGCTCACAATTCCTCTTTTCCTGGAACACAGGAATAGGACTCCATAAAGCCACATCTATTGCCTTATGATATCCTGTGTGTGTGTGTGTGTGTGCGTGAGTGTGCATGTATGTGTATGTGTGTGTGTGCGTTTTAGGGGGCAGTGTGAAGCAGATTAACCTTGAAACTAGTTCAGAGCCCCTCATTGCATGGGCTCCTTCTCATTCATCAGGAAGGCCCACTTCATGTCACATAAAATGATCTGCCCGTATGTGGAATTTAAGTAGCCCAGTGGAACTATCAGATTCAGTCTGAGCTATCTCTAAAGATAACTCCCCAGTGAACAGTATTCAAACCCTTATGTAGTTCCCGTCCCTCAAATCTGGGCTAGCTCTGTGATTCATTTTTGACCAATTCAGTAGAGCAAAAGTGATACCCAAATTTAGGCCATGGTCTTGTAGATACCATCTGTACCTTTTGGAATGTTTTACTTTGGTGGAAGCCAGCTATCATTTAAAAAGTCTTTCTACCACAATACCATGATGCTTTGGAGTTCAGGTTAATCATATGGAGAGGCTGTTTAGGGAATGAGAAATATTCAGCTGCCCCTGGCTGTTCCAGCAACTCTGAGAAGCCAGATACGGGAGTTAAACAGCCATCTTGGAATCCAATCTAGCTGAGCCCTCAGATGATTCTTTCTTTGGCCACCGTTTGAATGCAGTCGCCGAAGACCCCAAGGAAGAGTTGCCAAACAGCCCAAACCATAGATCTGCGAGAGATTTTTTAAAGAGATTTTTGCCTGAGGGCATGTGTGCCCATGAG